GTGCCCCCCGACCCTCCCCGTGTCCCTGCACAGCCGTTCCCTTCACCGGTGCAGCCAGGCTGCGCAGCGGCAGGTCCCGGCTCCACGCTGAGACAGAGCTGCAGCGCAGGAGAGCCGGGGGACACTGACCAACTCAGACTGCAGCACAGCCTTCCAGCACCCACCCAGCTCCCCTGGGGCCTCGTGGGACTGGTCCAGCATGGCCAAGAGCACCAACCCTGGCAGAGACACACATCTGCCCGGGCTCCGCAGCTGGGACGGGGATCCGGACATCTCTCTGAGCTGGCCCAGCCCCACAGGGGACCACGCCATGAAGGGATCAAGCCTGGAGAAGGCTCAGAGGACAGGCACAGCCCGCTGTGCCCTGGCTCCCGGCCGGGGAAGCCCATCGCCTCCACGCGAAGGGGTGTCCCCACAACACCCTCCCTGCTCCCGGCTCTGTGCAGGGGGCCAGCGCGTCACCTGCAGTCGGGCGCGGGGCACCAGCGGGTGCCGGGGTCGGCCACCAGCAGCCGTCGCAGGAGGAACTCCTCGTACTTGTCACGCAGGGCAGGCTCTGGCAGGAGGCGGTGGACGTCGGCGGGCAGCAGCGCGGCCGGGCAGTGCGGGCAGGCCACCTGCACGCGGCTCTCGCCGACAGCGATGCGCAGGTACTGCTCCAGGCAGCCCCGGCACGAGCGGTGGTCACAGGAGGCCAGGGTGGGGAAGGCCTCAGGAGGCTGCGGCAGCAGGCACAGGGGACACTCCACCAGCTCCCCGCCCTCGCCCGGCGGCACCACGAGGCGCATCTCCTCGGGTCCCGGCGGCTCTGGTCCTGGCGACGTCTCCCCTCCGACAGCCTGCGGCTTCCGCCCGAAGAAGCCCAGGAGGCGGAGGGGCGCGGGCACCTGCACGGGTCGCTCCATGGTGGCCCGTCAGGGCGGCAGCCAGCTGCTGCTGGGCTACGGAGGGCAGCAGGGAGGTGCCAGCCCCAGTGCGGCCCCCATGGCCAGGCTCCTACCTGGGCCTCAGGGCCGGCATCCTCCCCAAAGGCAACGGCCGGACCATGCAGCTGCACCCGGTGCCGCTCGCCCTGCGAAGGAACCGTGTGTGAGAGCGAGCTCTGGGCGCCCACCAGACCCCACTGCTGCCTTGCTGGACCCCAGGGCCGGCCGCTGCCCGCACCTCGGAAGACGTCCCGGCAGCTCTGGGACAAGCCAAGACCCGCAGCGCTCCTCACAGCCCCTAGCCCAGCCTGGCCCCAGCCAGCCGTCCCTGTGGGTCCGGGCCAGCAGGGCCAGCCCCACCAGCAGCAACCTGGCCCCGACACAAACCCTTCGGCACAGAGCCCCCGGCCGCCTGCCCCAGCCGGGGCTGTTCCAGACCCTCCCTCCCCACGTGGATCACAGCCCACAGCCTAGACCGGGGTGCTTGACTCTCTCTGCTCCCGCGCCCGCCACCTCCTTCACCCAGCACAACTCGCACTGGCCTGGCATGGGCAGCAGCCCGCCCTGAAACGGGAGGCAGGCTCCCTGCGGGCCAGCTGCGGGCACAGCTGCCAGCAGAGCCCTGACAGTGCCCAGGACATTGCTCACCTCCTGCGCCCCCCAGCACCCCAGCGCAGCCACCCCCAAACTGAGCACACAGCCAGGCCCTGTCCTTGCTTGACATCTCCGGCCAACGTGCTCCCTCCCACAAGGCTGCAGGCAAGAACAAAAACGCCCGGACCTTGAGCTCCGACAATCACATCTTGTGTAGCCATCTGGCCACAGTCACCCCTAGGCATTTTGTCCAGCCTCATCCCCACGTTGGCCAGAAGACCCTGGATCCCAGTGCCGAGGCTGACCAGTCCCACACCACGCTTGGCCAGTGCAGACACAGCCCATCTCCAGCCACCCACGTGCCCCTGAGCCAGCTCTGTTCTGCCCCATTCTGTTTCCTTCAGTTCAGCGTCAAAGTCCAGAGACCCAGGACCTCCCAAATTCCCCAAGGCAGGCAAGACAGTGGTCCTTGCAAGGAAGGCTGTGGCAAACACTGACAACTAGTTTGTACACAGGGGACCACAATAATCACACCCCTCACCACCCCAAATCTCCGTGGCTCTCCCCTCCAAGGAGAGACACGGCTGAAGCTCCGACTTTCCACTGGAGTTCAAGTTCAGACACAAGCCCCTTAGCCCAGCCTGCATCGGGAAGCTCCTAGCAATGGCTACCTGGAGGGAGCCCAGAGGAGAACTCGGGGCAAATCAAAACTGCCATCACTCACTCCTCCTCCTCGGGGTTAGCTCACAGGAGGGCAGGGAAAGTCTCACTGCCACAGAGAAAGTGCTTCCTCCACAGAGGTTGGCTCCTGAACTGCCCCAGGAGGAGAGAGCTCCTCCACGTGCCCTGCAACCCAGGGCGGCAGGACCCGAAGCCACGTGGGGTGCGCTCACTTCTGACGAGTGCTTCTCCACGTCCCAAGCGCTGCACTAAAACCTGCATCGCCCAAGCTGCTGCTGAGTTCGTAGAAGAGACAGCCAAGCCAAGGGAACCAAGAGCTAGTTAAGTAAGTGACCAGAAGCTATGCGATTACAGGAGAGAGGAGGTAAATCTCTCAGCTTTCCCTTACACAGAGCTCATGAGTACATGGCCACACCATAATCCCTCCTGACAGCAGGGCCAGGCCAGTCCCTCCACTGTTCTCCTTGCTCTTTCCTTATCTATGCCTCAAAGAGTTACACCCTACGCTTTACACTTCGACAGCATTGCCACACCCCTCCACCTCTAACAGCCTCTGCTGGTTTTGTGTTTGAGCACAGCCAGAACAGCAGAAGCACTGGCACGGGAAGAGGCAGATATTAGTGATAGCTCAGGGAAGACCGAGGAGTCTGATTACATCTGCTCTGCTAGGAACAAGCAAGGTGCTGCACCGTGTCACCCCGGGTAATAAAGCACTTCCCAGTGAGGTGGTAACTGAAGAGCTCACGGAAACCGGGCTGAGATTGGATTTAAGTGGTTGTTAAGAGTGAGAAGTACCCCAGGAGAAGAGCGGGAAGGAAGGTGCTCAAACCCGGGGCAGGGCAGTGGGACCACCATTGTGGGTGACCGATGCCATTGCTGCGGACACCGCCCGGCAGAACACCTGGAGCCAGCACGGGAGCATGAGAAGAGCTGCACCAACGCCGCGGACATCAACGTGCGGCCGGCGGGGCCAGCCCGTGAGGAGTCACCCCGGGCCTGCATGGCTCCTTGGCACAGCCCATCAACAAGGGCCTATCCGGCCCCATCCTCTGGCCCCACGGTACCTGTCAGCGGGGAATCATTGCTGATGACACGGCACGGCTCTGGTACTCTCACAAAGCCCAACACATTCGACTCCCTCAGGGACCTGCAAATAAAACAAAAACTATCCATGAAGAGGCTCAGCAGCTGCAGCTCATACAGCCAGGGTCACTCGGACACGTCCGACAGCTCTACTAATGCAGCCACAGAAGGGGAAGAATGAACCCTGTAGATGGGGACCACATCCAGGGCATGGACCCAAGCATCAGAGAGGACAAAAGCTGAGCCAGGGCATGGCGGCTGCCCCCCAACACACAGAGCTGCACACTGGCCCTCCCTGGAGATGGACCAACACACAGGGCAACCAAACAAGTCCTGGGCAGGGGAACCACAGGCCCTCCTCTCCAAGAAGCTGGATGCAAAGCCCTGGCTGTCCCCAGTCTGCACAGCACAGGGACGGCAGAAAGCGGAGGGAAACGTGACAGCCTGAGGTGGCTGAGCATCCCCGGGAGCAGAGGTGTGACTGGGATGCACGAGGAGTCAGCACCACATCCTCCTTGCCTGGCAGGGTCAGAGCACGTCGGAGTGCCTGGGAGCTTGAGCCATGAAAACTGGGGGAGATTTTCTGGGAAAGTGAACCAGAGGGATATGCCAGGTGAAATCAGGAGCCCCAGTGCATGGGGGCCCAGTGCCCACAGGCACCCCTGGGAAAGCCGGGCAACAGGACTGAGCTCGGTGGCCCTTGAGAGGGCTGTGACAGCGGGGATAGGACGAGCAGAGGTCATGGTCGCAGAGGAGCCACAGCACCGCCACGGTGCCCCAACACGGTGGTGGCCCCCCCGGGGTCGTGCTGCGGCTGCCTCTCCTCCCGCGCCCAGCTGCGGGGAGCCGGGCTCCCCTCCCTCTGCAGCCAGTTCCCGCAGATCTGAATGCGTCAGGGGGAAAGGGACCTCACGAGGTCTCCAAGTCCACCTTTCCGCCTAAATCGGGGCCAGCACTGCGGTTGGTTTAGGGCTTTCTGCCGGCTGGGTCTCCAAAACCCCCAAGGACAAAGACCGCAGGGCCTGATCCGTGACGGGGCTCGTTCCGCTCCCCGGGGCAGCAGCAGGGAGCAGGGCCCCGGTGGGCACATGCGGGGGGGTTCGGTCACCCCTGGACATCAGCCCGCGGCCGGGACTGCGGGTCCCCCTGCGCGCCCCCCGGATCCCCCACCCGGGCCGACAGGATCTCCGTGACCGACCACGGCACGGCCACCCACCGCCCGCCCCCGGGCAACGCGGGCTCCGCAACCCCCCGCAGCCCCGCTCCGCGGCGCCGGGACGGCCAGAACGGCCGGCGGGGCTGCCGGTACCGGCACCGGCACCCGGCTGATCGAGCTCGCCCCGGGCTCAGGGGCCGTGCCGGGAGCGGGGGGGGGGGGGGGGGGGGGGGTGTCAGTCACAGCAGCCGCCCCCGCTGAGGCACAAACCCCCTCCAAAACCCGACCCCCGCCGGGCCCCCCCCCGCCTGCCTCTCCCGCGGCGCGGCTCGGGTCTCCGTTCCCGCCGCACAGCCGGAGCCGCCGGCGGCGAACCGGGGCGGCGAACCGGGACACACCCCCCGCCCCCGGCCGCCGCGGCGCTCGCTTCCGGGTCCCCGCTCCGCTTCCGGGTTCCCCCGCTCCGCTTCCGCCGCTCGCCCCGCCCGGCGGCGGCCGGAAGCGGAAGCGGCCGGTTGAGGCGGGGCGGCGGCGGCCGCCCCGGGCTGGCGGGGGCGGCTGGCGGGCCGCGGGCGGGCGGGCGGCGGGGCCGGGCCGGCGCCGGGACCGGGGCCGGCCACGATGCCCCGGCGGAAGCAGAGCCACCCGCAGCCGGTTAAGGGTGAGTGCGCGGCGGGGCCGGGGCGCGGCGGCGGCGGCGGCCCGGCGGTGACCCTCGGCGCTCGGTGTGTTGCAGCGGACGCCGAGGACGGCGCCGAGGAGACGGCGGGAGCGGCGCTGGTGCTGCCCGGCGACCTGCTGCTGGGCCGCGGCCTGGCCTTCGAGAAGGGACCGCCAGGTGCGTGTGGCGCCGGGCGGGCCCGGGAACGGCGGCTGCGGGGCCACGGCGGCCGCGGGAGCACGGCCCCGCCGGCACCGGCACCGGCACCGGCCCCACCCGGCAGCGGCTCCGCCCGGAGGCTGCTCCGTCCCTGGGTGCGGCCCGTGGGGTGAGGCCCCGGCCCCCGCCCCGCACCGGCCCCCGGCACTGACCCCCCACCCCCCGCTCCCTCCCGTTAACCCCCCCCCCGCCCCGGTTGCTCTGGGGCCGCGGGGAAATCAGGACTGGCAGCCGGCCCCGCCGCACACGGCGGCTCGGCCGACACCGACACCGCTCTGCCCGGGAGCCCCCCGCACCCGCGGGGTCGTGGATTTGCAGCCCCCCCGGGATCCGGGGCCGCGTACCTGTGGGGCCCTGCCCCGCCGTGTCGGCGGGGGAGCTGGGCCGGTGCTGCCTCGCTGCTAGCCCCCGCGCTCCGCCGCTTGCCCGCCCCACGGGCACCCCGGGCCCTTCCCGTGGCCGGGCTGCGGCTCCGTTAAGGTGCCTTGCGAGGACCTGCAGGAGCATCGCTCGATGGTGAGCGGTGAACAACGCGGGGACGTGCTCAACGGCGATAGGAGAGGGGGGCACAGACGGCCCCGTCCCCGCAGCCCTCGCCGTCCCCGCGCTGCCCACGAGGGCTGTCCTCCGTGCCGTGCCGGCAGCTCCCGCTCCTGTGCCGAGGCGTGGTCCCAGCTGCCTGGCAGATGGGGTTCTGCTCCCAGCGCTGCGCGTCCCCGCAGTGCCGGGACAAAGCCCGTGTAGCGGCGCTGGGAGCTGGGCTCTGCGAGGGCTGAAAGCAGCTCTCTGCAGCAGAACTCCTGCCCTCGGAAACGCCTCCCTCCCTGCTCTCAGCTGCCTGCCCCAGCCACCTCGGGGCCCACTGAGGATGGCAGGAGAGCCATCACCAGCCTCATCCTCGCCCCACGGACCACACTGTCCTGCCCGGGCAGCACTGACATGACAGTGCTCCAGGGATGCTGTGGCACTGCTGGATCGTGGGCTTGAGCTGAGGAGGCAAGGGAGTCCCTCGGTGCGGGGCACAAGGGTTCCCCTGGCAATAGCCAGGCCCTCGCAGGATGCCCCATTCTGGCGTCTGCACTGCCGGCAGTGCTTGGGAAAAGGGGGCTGGAGGGGCCGCCCCGATCCGCAGCGTGGGAGCAGACTCACCCCTGCGCCTGCCTGGGGCTCTGGGAGTTGGTGCAGCCAGGTGGGCAGCAGCGAAAGGGACGGCCCGGGCGGCTTCCCGGGGCGGTGGGTGTCTGTCGAGTCTCGCAGGTCCCAAGGCTCCAGGATGGGGACAGCAGGTCACAGCTGGAGGCCGGTAGTGGCAAGGCTTCGGCTGCATGTCACTGCCCTTCCAGCCCCAAGCACCAGCCTGGGGGCACATCTGGGGCACGGGGCCAGGCTGGGGCAGCTGCAGGGCAGTGGGCTCCGCTCCCGTCATCCCTTCCTGGGGCACGAGCGTTACCCCAGGGGATGCAGGAGGATGGGTGTGCCCAGCCGGGAAGCAGAAGTGCCCTCTGAGAGCCTGGCACAGACTTCCCTCCGCGCAGTGCTGCGTGGGGCTGGGGAAGGTCTGTTTTCCTGCATGATGGAGGCAGCAGCACAGCCAAGGGGGGGCCCAGAGCAAGTGTTGAGGGCACCCAGCCCTCCTGCCTGGGTCAGGCTGCGCTCAACACCTTCCCGCCACTGCTGCTTCCTACCAGCCAGGCCCAGCCGCACCGGTGCGTGCCAGCTGCCCACCGCACCCCTGTGCCCCCCTCCACCTGCTGCTGGGGGTCTGGCCGTGAGCTGACCGCCCGGCTCGGCCAGGCACAGAGCGGGGGGTGACAGGGTTTCCCAAGGTGCCCAGGACAGGCCCTGCAGCAGCATGTCGGGGCAGATGGTGGCTGTGAGGCCCCTCACCCCGCTGTGGGCAGCGCGGTGGGCTCCCACGGGCTGCTGCCGGGGTGGGCGCAGCTGCCTGCCCCCTCCTTGAGACGGGCCCTGCCGGGACCACTGGCACAACCGGAGGGGCTGTGCCCTGGGGGCAGCCAGGCTGACACCGTCCCATCCCCACGGTCTTCTCAGCAGACACGCTGGTGGGGAAGATCGCCATCCCGGCGTACGCCCTGAGCGACGACGACTGCTCCTCCGGGTACCAGCAGCTGAGTGTGGAGAGTGACCCCGAGGAGGGCGGTGAGCCCGGCCCCGCGGCGCTGCCCTGCCGCCAGTGTGGGCTGCAGCTCGCTGCCAGCCTAGGGCAGAGCTGCCTGCAGTGCGCCGGCGCCGAGGGGGGCCGCAGCCAGCGCATCGTCTACTCCTGCCAGCTCTGCCCCTTCGCCTCCCACTACTCCAGCCACCTCAAGCGCCACATGAAGACGCACAATGGGGAGAAGCCGTTCGCGTGCCCGCAGTGTGCCTACGCCTCTGCCCAGCTGGTGAACCTGACCCGACACCTGCGCACGCACACGGGGGAGAAGCCGTACCACTGCACGTGCTGCAGCTTCGCTTGCAGCAGCCTGGGCAACCTGAAACGCCATGAACGGGTCCACAGCCAGGACAAGCCCTTCCAGTGTGCTGCCTGCGACTATCGCTGCAACCAGAGCCGCAACCTGAAGCGGCACATGCTCAGCCACCGCCTGCCCGAAGGCGAGGGGCCGCACCGGGGAGATAAGGACCCAGGTAAAGAGCTGGGGGGGGGGGGATGCAGGGGAGAGTGGCTGTGGCGTGGCCCCAGGGCTGGGGAAGGGGCAAGGCACGCATCCTGCCGTCGACCTGTGCCAGGCCTGAGCTGGGGCACCGTCGCCCCGCGCGGAGCTGAGCCCTGCCAGCGCCGCAGCCCCGCTCACAGCCCTGTTTGTGTTTGTCCCGCAGAGCCGCTGCTGCCGGAGCTGAGCCTGCACGTGGGCAGCGGCAGCGGCCCCTTCCTGCCCGGCTGCGCTCGGCTGCGGGGCGAGGAGGCGGCCGCGCTGCCCGAGCTGCTCTTCCCCTTCACGTGCCGCATGTGCGGGCTGGTGCTGGACGACGGGTTCGCGCAGGATGAGGGCCTGGCTGAGCAGGTCTGCGGACGCTGCAGCCTGGCGGTGCTGGGCACCGAGCCGGGCGCCAGCCCCCGCAAAGGCACGGGGGACAAAGGCTTCGCCTGCAGCCTCTGCTCCTTCGTCACCCACTACCCCAACCACTTGGCGCGGCACATGAAGACACACAGCGGGGAGAAGCCGTTCGTCTGCCCACTCTGCCCCTACGCCTCCGCCCACCTCGACAACCTGAAGCGGCACCAGCGAGTGCACACGGGCGAGAAGCCCTACAAGTGCCAGCTCTGCGACTACGCCTGCGGCAACCTGGCCAACCTCAAGCGTCACGGGCGCATCCACTCGGGTGACAAGCCCTTCCAGTGCAGCCTCTGCAGCTACAGCTGCAACCAGAGCATGAACCTGAAGCGGCACATGCTGCGGCACACGGGCGAGAAGCCCTTCCAGTGCCGGGACTGCCCCTACACCACTGGCCACTGGGACAACTACAAGCGCCACCAGAAGATCCACGGCCACACGGCTGAGAGCTGGGTAAACCCACGCAATGCCAAAGCCCTCCTGGCCCCTCCAGCCGTGGGCACGGCCCTGCCCTGAGACAGCACTTAGCCCAGATGCAGGGGTATCCAGCCCTGCGTCGGGCCTGGGGTGCCTCAGCCCCCGGGGGAGGCACGGGCAGCAGACTCCGTGGGGGTTCAGGGCTGCCTTACGCAGGGTGCGAAAGGGTCTCCAGCAGCCCTATCCTGCCCCGGGCAGGGTGGAGCCAGGACCGGTGGCTCAGGTGCCTGCTCCAGCAGCAGTGGTGCTGTGCCCCCCAGGCCCCCTCAGGGGCAGTACCTGCCTGTTCCTGCCTGTCGGAGCCTTCCTCTGCCTGCCGGAGACTGGGGAAAAGGGGGGAGGGGGAAACAGGACTGGTTCCATGGCTGTTGCCATGCCGGTCAGTGTAATTTATATTGTGTATAAAAGCATTAAACAGTCAGTTTTGTTATCTGCTATTCTCCCTGGGGACCTTGTTCTGCTTCAGGAGAGGATAGCGTGGGGCTGGCAAGGTGTGCGGGGAGGGGAGGGACAGCAGACAGCTCAGTACCAATCAGGATCCATTTTAATCATCATTGCAGTGTGTAAACATTGGCTACTGTCCATTAATGCTCTGGTCGGTCTGAGCAGCAGGAGATACGTGGTTACAAGCCTAGATTATGCTGGAGTCTATGAGCGGGTTAGAGAGGGGGCTCTGCCCAGAGCCCCCCGGAGACAGTTTACAGCCGTCTGTCTCTGAGCAGAAACCTAAACGCTAATTTGGCATTATGGAGCCTCAGGAGGGCCACTCGGTGCCCCCAGCTGCCGAGGTGGGCGCTCGGACCAGGCCCTCCCGGCTGGGGAGGGGGCAGCTCTGCCCCCCGGGCTGGGCCAGGCTCCGCGACACTGCTGCAGGGCTCGGCCTGGGCACGCTGCTCGGGTCGGGCTGGTGCCGCCCTGGGAACAAGCCCTCTCCCAGCTGGAGCCAGCAGCAGGAGGAGTTCAGCTGCCCCCACCCCGAAGGCAACGGTGGGCTGGGGGTGAGCTCCCCAGCCCAGGGCAGCAGGGGAAGGTGGATGTAGCAGGTGAGAGGCACGTTGATTGCAACCTGTCTGCAGGTCGTACATTCCTCAGCGAAGGCCCTCGGGCCGGTGCTGTCCGAGGAAGGGGGGGCACTACAAATCTTCATCACCGATGCCCTCAAAGGCGTAATTGCCGTGGAAGTCATTAGCGCCCACATCATTAGCAGAGGTGGAGTGGCTGATCCCTCGAAGGCTGACAGAGGTGAGCTTGCTCTGTGGAGAGGGGGATATGTTAGGGAGGAGGACCCCCCACTCCCCCTGCTCCGTTCGTTCGAGGGCGACTGCGACCGCACACAACTCACCGAGAGTTTGGCCATTGGCTCCCGGGAGGCATCGGGCGAGTCCTGTGGGGACAGCACGGTCAGGCAGCACCGAGGCGGCAGGACGTGCCCCCCGCCACCCCGTCGCCCTGCCGTCGACCACCACTTGCCCTCAAGGGAGGAGGCCAGGCCACCGTCCCTTCCCGCTCCCAGGGATGGGTCCAGCTCCCCTTTCTCCTCCCAGGACCCGCAAGAGCAGGGCACCTCTGCCCTGCTGCCCTCTGGGCTTGTCCCAGCCCTCCCCGCCACCAGCCCTGCCGTGGGGGCGGGTGGGCTCTGGTACCCAACGCCCCGCGGAGACCACAGTCACGCTTGTGTCCCCTGCCCGGGCTGCAGGGTCCCACTCACCAGCAGCGGGGGCGATTTCACAGCCTGCTGGCTGTCCGAGCGCCGCAGGGCCCCGTTCACCCTCCGGCGAAACATCTGCAAGGGGGGAGCTCGGCTCAGCAGCAGGGTCCCCACGGGCAACTCCAGAGGTTTAAGGTGGCCCCTGGGGATCCTTCAGCTGGCCCCATCCTGAGAAGAGCGAGCAGACGCCAGCCTAGACCCTGGGGAGTTACAGGGGCAGGACAAGTTCCCACCCCAGAGACAACATCCAGCTCCAACCCTCACCTTGCGGATGCTGCCTCCAGACTTTTTCACCATCAGCTCATCCACCATAGATTGCAGGCAGATGCTCAGCATGATGGCCTGCAAGGGAGAGGTGTCACGAGGCTCCGCGCACCCCACGCCAAGCCCAGATCGGCCCTCTCCCTCGCTCCCGGCAGCCCTACCTGTGGACTGGTGATGGTGACCCACTGCAGCCGGTCCTTGCTCATTAGGTACTCAAAGGCCAACTCCAGCTTCACCTCAGACTTCCCCGGGCTGCTTCCCGAGGGGCCGTTGCTCATCGGCACCTGCAAGGGCACACGCTGAGGCTGGGAGCCTGCAGAGGGGAAGCAGCCAGCTTCCCAAGCCCCTGTGCTGACAGGGGGCAGCCGCCAGACTCGACACCCTGCCCAGCTCCCACCGGCCTTCCACCACCACCAGGTCCCCCCCGCAGCAGCAGACCCCTCGAACGTCCTCGCGCCGATGACCCCCTCGGCCCCAAAGCACAACCAGGCCAGCTGGGCTGGAAGCGGACAACGCAGCCAGCACTCTTCCCAGGGATCGCTGCCGGCACAGCCGGGTCCCACTGACCCCAGAGAGCCCTCCCTGCTCCCCGGGGCCCGCAGGCCAGCGACACTCACCGAGGACGTGACCCGCCAGCACCGCATGCGCGTGACCTTGAAGCTGCCTTCCTTGATCTGCTCGCTCGGCAGCCGCACCTGGAAGTTGAGCTCGTTGTTGCCAGCGCTGACAACGACGTGGCATCCCTTCTCAGGGAAGTCAGTGATGCAGGGGTCGAACTTGAGATAGCCGTAGTACTTCAGGGTCTGTGCCAGGCGGATGAACTGCGGGCAGAGCCGGGGCAGCTCAGCACAGGCAGCTGCCTTCCCAGGCCGGGAGCCCAGCACCACACGTTCACACAGGAGCGGTGCCTGTCACAGCATCGCGCCCTCCCCCACCTCCTTCTTGGAGACTTTTTCCTGTAGGGACTTCAGCTGCCGGTGCTGTTCCTTGTTGACTAGGATCCACCCACGCTCGATGTCTGACACCGTCTAACAAGAAGCAGAGGCCGGTGAGCAGCTGGGCCCAGAGCCACCCGAGACCCCGCACCGCCAGAGCTGACCCTCACCTGCGCATACAGCAAGTTCAACCCCACGCGATGCTCCATTACATCGTCGTCGTAGGCAGAGTCCCAGTAGCTAGAAGGGAACCACATGGGTCAACCTATTCCCCAGCTCCTAAGAGCTGGGGGAAGGAAAACACCCCTCCACGATGGGACAAGGCGCTGGGCTGGCTCTCTGGCCAGCTCCCCCCGTAGCCACCGGTGGCCAGGACCCAATCCCCCTCTCAAGCAGCTACCAGAGGTGGGAAGGGCCATGTCTGAGAAAGCAGAAACAGGGGCCAAGCCCGGCAGGGCAGCCTGGCCCCCGTGTCATGGCTGGGGACACTCAGGTGTGTTCCCAGGAGCCAAAGCACCGCCGCGGGCGATGATGGCAGGAGGGGAGGGGTCCCTCTGCACCACCCCACTGCTCCAGCAGTCGCTGCCCCCCCGGCCCTGCCCCTCACCTCTTGCGCAGGATGATCCTGAACTCGGGGTTGTGCAGGCTGGTGACGGACACGTACGGCAGCTCAAACTCCTGCAGCTTCCGCACGACTGCAGGGAAACAGCAGCTCAACAGCAGCTCGGCGCAGCGGCAGCCCGCCGGACCCCTGCCAGCCAGGGCGCCCCAGGGGAGCCTGCTGCACACCCCCAGCCAGGGGTCCAAGCACACCGCTCTCGCTCTGGGGCAGATGTCCCACCGCAGCCCTGGCGGGGCTCCAGCCTGCTCTACTCACAGGAGAAAGCTCCGTCCTTGGTCTCTCTCACTAGGAAGAGGCTGAAGTAGCCGACCAGGTCATCTGGCAGATCCAGCTTGGAGGCCACAGCCTGGGAGTGAGAGCAGGAGGTCACCACTTCCTGCAGAGAGGCAGCACTTCGACATCCTTACCCTGCGGCAGGATCCAGCCTGTGTGCGTTCTGGGGCCTCCCAACAGCAGGAAAGCAGCACCTCTGCTGTGCTGGGGGCCGGGGCGGGGCGGGGCAAGCGGGGCCAGTGGGATCGTTGCCACCGTGAAGCAGCTGGGGGCTTCCCAACACCAATCTGGACCCAGAGAGGGGCACGAGCACATCGGCACACCCTTTCCAGCTCCACCGCTCTTCAGCCCCCCCAGGACAGCCTTGCTCTGGGGTAGGGAGGTGGCAGGGAGGGCCAGGGGGCTGACAGGCTGCGGGAACTCCTGCACGTGTGGGAGGCCACAGAACTCAGCAGGAGGAGCTCATCCTGCCCAGCACAAGAGCTTTGGCACCTCAAGGACATCCTCTGTCTGGTCCGAGGTAAGGATGGTGACCTTGACCTTCTGGCCGTTGGAGAGCAGCACTTCCAGCACCACCTCCTCTGTGGGAATCTGCTGCGTCTCCTGCAGGGAGAGAAGCAGGATTGGTACCCTGCTCCCTCCACCCTCGTGCCACCCCGGCTGCCTCGCAGGCCGAGGGTCCCAGCACACACACCACAGCCCAGTGCACCCAGCAGCTCCTGTCCCCTCACCTGCTGGGCCTTGCGCAGGAAGCTGTTGAAGGTCTCGCTGCCTCCCAGTGTCGGGTCCTGCCGCACTGGGAGGGTGGAAGATGAGCAGGGAGTCAGGTGTTATGTGGGAAGGCGCAGGGACGCACGCCAACGCCTGGCTACTCTGCGGCCCCCCAGAGCTTGCACCCAGACAAGCACGCGTGTAGGGCGCGCACCTGGGCACCCGCCGACTCCCCGAGGCGGAGGCACCAGCAGGTCTCCACCTCTGCCAGCACAGGGAAGGGGCTGGGACTGGGGAGCTGACAGCCAGTGGACAAGGCCAGCTAATACCAGAGCAAGACTGGGAGTATCAAGATGGGCCACAGCAAAGGGTGGGGAGGAAGGTGAGGGCAGCGCCCTGGTGCCCTGGGTGACTGAGCAGGGACAGCCGGCCCCGAGCCGCGGCACGAGGCAGACCCAGCTTACCAGCCTGCATGTATTTCTCCAGCTGTTCCCGTCGTTGCTCTACCTCTGCTGGGGTGAGCGTGAAGATCTTCTTCGGGGGAAAGGCTGGGACCACGTTAGCGCCATACTCTTTCCTTAACTGGGAAGAGAGCAGAGTGCTGCCAGACCCTCCAGGGAGATGGTGGCTGCTCTGATCCCCCACCCCAGCCGATTCCCAGAGCCCTGGCGAGGGCGGCGGCGAGCACGCCGCTGTTCCTCATCCAGACGGACAGCCAGCAGCGTGCAAGAGCCCAGCCGGGATGTCACAGGGCAGGAGAGGAGGCCTGCACCCGGTGCCAAGGGACGGGGAATGGCACCCCGGCCGGCCCCGCAGGCAGCACATGCCTGCCTGCAGCCCGCACAGCGCCCGATGCTCCGCTCTCCAGCAGCGCTCGACGGCAGAGCCCAGGGCCCAGCACCCTGCCTGCCAGGAGC